GCAACCTGCTCTAGTGGAAGGTGTCCCTGCCCGGGGCAGGGGGTTGGAGCTGGAGGAGCTTTAAGGTCCCTTCAACCCAAACCAGGCTGGGGTTCTGTGAGCCAGGATCAAACCAACGCTGACAAGGCTGAGCACACAGCTGTGAAGCGCTGGAGGATGCGGTGGCTCTGTGACCTCCCAGCTCCTGGGGGCATGTCCTTTGCATCGCAACAGGCTTCCTGCTGTGCTGCACATCACAGCCCTGCGCTGAACCCCACGCAAGGGGAGGGAGAGCAGTGGTGAATCTGCATCTTCACCCTGTTCCCCAGCCCTGCCGGGTGCGGGGCACCCTGCCCAGCCTCACCACCTGCCTGCGTTTCTCTTGCAGATCAACGTCCTCCGAAACCGTGTTAGTGACCACCAGAAAGTGTAAGTCTGCAGGGCAGGCTGAGCATCCCTCCTCCTGCCTTTCCAGCTCCCCGGTTCCCTGGCTCCGCTTCCCTCCCTGTGTACCTCCTGCCCCTCTTGTACTCTCGCAGAGCCACCTCCTGTCCTTCCCACTCCTGCCCTTGGTCCCACTGGTACCCAGTGCTCATGGACCTGCAGGTCTGGTCCAGGGTCCGTGCTGCTCTGCTCCTATCAACAGACCCCTACCATTGCCTCCCACCTCCACCGAACTTCCCCCTGCCCCAGACACCCCAGATGGGGATGGACCCACCTCTGCATATGGAGCCTTGTGTCCTGGGGGGTCCTATCAGCCTCCAGCAGCCCCGATCCCTGCAGTGGCTCTGCCCAGCACCTCAGGGAGGGTTCTGGAGATCCCGTCTTGTGTAGGAAGGGAAATCCCATGGGCTGTGGGAGCTGTGCAGCCCTGCAAGGTCAGGAGAGCCTGTCCCATTGCCCATGTTCCTTGCACAGGACAGGGGGACCCTTTCTATAGGGTGTTTAACTCCCACCCTTGGGAGCACCATGCTGCTCTCGCATCCCTGCTCTGTCACCTCACATGAGAGCTGCTCAGCCTGCCCCGTATGCCAGGCAGCAGCATTTGCTTACACCAAATCTCTCTTCTTTTCTGCCCCATCGTGGCATGTTACTGCAGCAAAGGGTGAGTACAGCTGCTTCCCCAGTGCTGTGTGTCTCCCAGTGCATGTGTGCTGCATGGACACTGGCGCTAGCAATAGGGCTGAGGGAGGAGACAATGCCAAGGACTGGCAGCCAGAGCTGCGCTGGTGACTCTCAGGATGACGTGCCACAAATGCCCTTCAACTGTCCACCTGAGCTTCCTCTTCCGCCTCCTCTTCCTCCTCCTCTTCCTCCTCCTCTTCCTCCTCCTCTTCCTCCTCCTCTTCCTCCTCCTCTTCCTCCTCCTCTTCCTCCTCCTCTTCCTCCTCCTCTTGGCTGACCTGTGCCCACAGCAGTGTCTGTTCCCCTGATTCCAGTTAAGGAGATTGATGTGGTGGGTCCTGACTAACATCATCACAGCTTCTGGTTCTTGAGAGAAGGATCCTGCAGCCGTTTTTGTCCCTCTGCCACCAGAGATCCAACTTGTTGATTCTGTTCTGAAGGATCCTTGAGAGGGAGAAATATGGGAAGGGAATTGGGGGTCCTTAGAGACGCCTGGCAAAATGCATGAGCTTCTTCCATAGACTCCCAAAACATATAAATGCACTGACTCAGGTTCCAAGGTTTTACCTGGGGCCACTGAAGACCTTCTTCCCCACAGTGAGCATCAACCGGAGATGGCTTGTCCCTCCTTTCACAGTCACTAATGCCATTTTACATGTGCTTTTCTGCTTCCCTTCCAGGTCAAAGGCTGCCCGTGGGAAGACCATGGTAGGCGGCCGGTGGAAATAGATGCTCGGAAGGCGAAGGCGGCTCATCCATGGGGAGCTGTGTTGCCTTTTGGTCCACCATCTGCCTTCCCCACCTGCCCTCCCACTGCACAGGGCTTGCAGGGGTCTGGCTGCAGGCACGGCACTGCCTGGGTGGGCAGATGCTTCACGAGGTGCCGTTTCCCATCTCCACCCCCCGCTGATGTTGTGTCTGTAAATAAAGAGAGCGGGGAGGGGGTCAGGGTGTCGTCTCCATCCTGAAGCTCTAAGCCCAGAGGAAGCAGGCGCAGGACAGAGCTCAGCTGAGCAAGCGCAGCGCCCACCCGCTCCCTGCAGTGCAGGTGGATGCAGCAGCCATTCAGGACCTCCTGGATTCCATCCCCTTGCCTCACACCATCTCCCACCTCAGTGGTCTGACTGCTCTTCCTGCTGCAGTCTGGGGCAATCCTCGTTACGGCCACTTTAGCTCCTGCTTTTGCTGTACCAGAACCCCCTTGCTCGGATCTGAGTCAGGGCTGGCCCGGTGGGACAGTATCGATAGGGGCACTGCTTCCAAGCCTCTTGGTGCATGGATTAGTCACAAACCCAGTTTCCAGGCCATTATAACTCATATTTCCACCTCTTCCTAAAGGGCCCAGACCAACTGTGTTTGCCTCCTCTCTGTGTTTCTGACAGTGTGCAACAAAGGTCTGATGAAAAGTCAGTGTGGGGAGACCATTCATCTGTCCTTTCAGGTGTGCAGATCTCTTTCATCTAGCTGTAGGCATCGCTGTAGCATGCTCCCACATGTGATGCCCATGGTGGCACATCAGCTGCATAATCCTGAGGTCCTTGTGCCTGGATCTGGACTATCAGCCAGCCGAAGACACTAGGCTTGCATGACCATTTCCTGGGGCAAGTTGTCCCATGCAGTTGTTAAACCTCATCTACAAGGTGTTTCCAGAGCAGTGGGGAAGGAATAGGTGCACAGGATGGTCAGTCTTCAAAGGCTTCTTGTCCTTTGGCAAGATGTTTTGTTTGTCTCCCCTCTTGCTGTGCTGCCTGTCCTCCCCATCCCAGACCAGGTGAGGTGTGAGCATCTTGCAGCTTTCTCCCTTGTGCTCCCTGTTGGATGATGACTTATCTTGCCTAGTTCAACACATGCCATCAGTTTTTGGGGAACAAGGCTCTGGGAAGCGTCAGCTTTGGTAAGGCAGCAAGTGGAGGGCAAACAGACCTCAAAAACAAGGTGTGGAGCATTGAACTTGGTGCCTTAATGGGATGAGGGAGGACCACGAGGATGCTCAGGGGCTGGAGCATCTCCCATATGAAGACAGGCTGGGAACATTGAGAGTGTTCAGCCTGGAGAAGAGAAGCTGCGTTGAGACCTCAGAGCAGCTCCAGTGCTGAAGGGGGCTACAAGGATACTGGAGAGGGACTCTTCGTCAGGGACTGTAGCGATAGGACAATGGGTGATGGGTTCAAACTGAAACAGGGGAAGTTCAGGTTGGAGATAAGGTCCAGGGAGAGAGGAGCGCTCTGGGCACAAAGCTGTGCCTGGCTGGGAAATGAACACCCCCTTTTCCCAGGCTCCCACCCTCACCACCTTCCCCAGCAGCGCCGGTGCCCGGTGCGGCA